GTTATAAAAAGATTTGTAGCCAGATCTTGACCATGTGCAGATAAAATTTATTTCTATTTTAATAGCTGTGAGATTTAAATCACGAAAAAAAAAAAACAAAATAAAAAGAGCTGAGCATTTGTTTCCTTTCTTTGTCCATAGTGGAAAATTCAATAAAATTCAACCTGATCATGATGCCACCGACGGAAAAATGTCGAAAACCCGCGCGACTTACGTTCAAGGCGAATAATTTCAAGGTCTTTTTTCTCTTAAAAAATGTCAGATTTGTGTTTTGGATCTTATCATGGGATCTCAGGTTTAAAAACATGAAATTCAACTTTTGTCCAGGAGGGGTAAATTTCTGGGGGGTATTAAAACATAATTTAGTTTTATTAAGAGTTGATAAGGTAGATTGACTACCGTGGAGATTTTCCAAATCCGACGTTTCAAGTGCGAGTTTCAGCGGACTTTTACTTCGACAACTCCATCTCACAAAGATTAACAAGCGCCCAGTCCATTTACTAGTAGATTAGAACACCGTGTATATATCTTTTTGCCTCGTGTTGACGCTTTCTACGTGGAGGCGCGGTGGCCTCATGGTTAGTGCGCTCGACTCCGGATCGAGTGGTCCGGGTTCGAACCCCGGCCGGGACATTGTGTTGTGTTCTTAGGCAAGACACTTTACTCTGACAGTGCCTCTCTTCACCCAGGTGTATAAATGTGTACCGGCAATTAAATGCTGGGGGTAACCCTGCGATGGACTGGTATCCCATCCATGGGGGAGTAGAAATACTCCTAATCGCTTCATGCTACAGAAACTGGAGTTAAGCACCGGCCTAATGGGCCACTAGGCTCGTAAACAGACTTCACCTTTACCTGACGCTTTCTACAAAAGCTAGAAAAGGTCTACATAGCGTCGAGATGGGGTCTATAGAGTCACAAAAAACCTTTCTGGCAAAGAACAAAAGGTGCATCCTGTTGGTTCTCTCGAGAAAAATTACAGATAACGTCGTTCCACTTTTCAGACGGGAGATACTTTCCGGCAAACATGTTGGCACATTTCTCCCTCTTGCTATGACTGTTCGGTTTTCCATTGGCCCATAAAGAAATCCATACGCCCATGTCTTGTACTGATTTTGAATCAGGTTGAGAATGAAACTGTTCTCATCAGCAGATCTGATTATTTGGAAGGTCTCCCCCGTGGCTCTGGCAAATCCTGCGGACCTCGGTCCAATTCTGCGTTGGGGTGTTGAGAATCAGATAACACGATTGAGAATGGAGAACCCATTTTCTCCGACAAACCTATTGTTATCAGCCGGTGGAAAATGAGATGGTTAGGTTAAAAATACTTAAGCCGATTAATTGAATATGATTTTTCGAAGTGGAGTTTAAGAGTGGTGAGGTAAATATCCATCGTTAAACCGCAAAATAATCAGAAATTAAATTGTTGACGCGCGATTTTGTCTCTATGGCTGTTCGGAGGTGAATAGTACCTACTCATAGTCTGTTTCGATTGCGCTTGTAAACTGCTAGAAGCTTGCCCACCGAAATACTCAAATTTGCCACCTGAGTTTCTTGACGTTTTTATATAAACGTCAATCAGAAGCTTGATTTTACGTTGTTCACAATAATATTGCTAAGATCGTTGAGAAAACTA